TACAGGTTATCATATATATACATTTATATTATAATATATATATATATATTAAATAATATTTGCATATATATATATATCAATATATATAGGATGTATTATGTTTGTGTGTGAGTATATATGTGTGTTTGTGCCCGTGGGGTTGCTCAACCTACAATTGAATGGCTATAGGTTCTGGACCCACCCGTTGTGCGGCCCTTCGAGCTATCCATTTAGGTGAGGAAATCATTTTTGAGCAGCAGCTTGGTGAAACCTCCACCAGGTAATGGGTCGGCTGACAACGACAAGTGAGTTAGTTGAACTCAATCCATCCACCAAAGCTAGGAAGGGACTTTCTCGGCCGGAGAATTATGTTTTTGAACCATTTTGAACCTACTGTAAAGATAGTGAAAAGAATGGAACGTCCACCAAAAACCATTGGCTTTAAAGCAAACATTGACAGGCTTGAAGAGCAACAGTGAGCATCAGCTGATCAAAGAGCTGAAGGCCACTGTGGACCATCTCGAGGACCGGTCAGCACGGAGTCACACTGCAAAGCGATTTGGTTCCTTCAAGATCCACGTCCGGGCATGAACCGCAAAAATGCAGAGCCAAATTGGATGGCCTTGTGAGGTTTCCAAACTGATTTAGTTCCAGTACCTGGAGCTGGAGCGAAGAGGTTCCCAACTAGACCATGAAACGTTGTAGAAGGACACCTGGTCCAAGACATGTTTCTCAATGTATGTTGTTATACTTTGGGGGTCACGATTTCTTCTTGCGGCGCACTGGCCTCTCGGGCTTGCTGTACCGGGTGAGGGTGTCCACGATCTCGCTAAGACCGCCTCCATGATGCCTCATGCTTTGGCCAACGTGACCAACCGATTGACCAACCTGATCCAGGAGTTGAAGCAACGCGCCAACGACCTTTACAAAAATGGAAGCCTTGATGAGGCCGCTGGGCCAGGGATAAAGACTGCGTCAGAAGAGTTTTAGAAGATACATGCGAGTGGGTCGTTCAACCTGGAACCTTGGTCCAGCTTGACCTTCCGGGTTAGCAAGGTATCCTGGTGCTATGACCGCCAATCTTAGTACGCCCTTGATAAGACATATATAGACTCACGTAAGGCTGAGGAAAACACATGCGTTGCCGCTTCTCTTCTCCGGCGTTCGGAAGAGAAGAGTGTATTCAGAAGCATGTTGTCCACAGGGTTTCAGGGTGCCCACAGGCCACTCACTTGTTGACATGAGACGACGAAGTGAGGCCATCCAGCTCTATTCTGCGGCCATCAACCGCCACTGGGTACCGATCCAGTGTGGGTTGTGCTTGTGGTTGTGGTTGTGGTTGTGGTTGTGGTTGTGGTGGTGGTGGTGGTGGTGGTTGTTGTTGTTGTTGTTGTTGAATTGACACATAGCCACATTTTTTGAGCCAGCATTTGCAAGTGGGATTGAGTAGATCAACTCGACTCCAATTGGCTGTGCGAGGTGTCCTCAAACATATTCTGTGGCAACCGCTCAGATACTTAATCATGAAGGATTGACGAAACTCATTGGGAAACTGAACGGCAAATGAGTTGGTTCGGTGTGCGTGGGGCCAGTTCAATTGGAGAGACGCACTTCCGTAGGCCTTTCAAATCCTTCATTTGATTATATTTGATGACACTCAACCAGCCAACCGCTAGCTCGCGAGGTGATCCCGATTGCGAAGATACGCGCACTGTGGCCACACTCTACTACAACCGCTCGGCTGCCTTGCGGAAGAAGGGCGAGTTTGAGAAAGCCCTGGATGATGCCAATATGGCCCTAGCTCCTTGGACGGAGCACCCTCTCACCAAGAAATGTTGCGTCGCCTCAACCGATTGAGACCCAACTTAGTTTCATGACACACATTTCCCATTATTTGAAGTCCGGAGGACAGGTAGAGGTTTATACTTTGAGGAGTTCGATCACATCACAATGAGCGGTTCTGAATGCACTCCTCCGCTTAAAGGGGAGCAGCAGGGTGACACAGCTTGCGCATGATCTCCGCCAGGAAGGAAACGGTTTCTATTAGTTATATTGGGAGATGCTGAAGACATAGGTGGTACGGGACGTGTTTTGTCCTCAGTATATTTGTTGTATGCTTTGGAAGGTCCAGGTACTTGTTAGGACAGTATGTATACACGAAGGGACTTCAAACCCATCTCGTCACGTGAAGAAGTCCGCGCGCCTGACCCGAGACGCTCAATCTATCCAGTGAGGCGCTACACCCCAAGTGGACGAAGGCGCTCTACCGGCGGGGCATCCTTTTGTTGGAGTGTGGCCGCTACGCAGAAGCCCTCACAGTGCCCCGCCGCAGCGGGCCACCGCAGCGCCGCGCTGTGCGTCGGGGGGGGATGTGAGCCGTGTGAGCAATGTGAGGTGAGTGTTGGATCGTTGCGTGTTGGTGTTTTTTTCTGATACGATTTGAGCCAATTTGGACAGATTGTTGGTGTTATAATCTTTGCAGTGATTTGATCTGCCTGGGAGCTCATACTAATACCGCCGGTCAGATATTATACTTGTTTGATCGGATAAAACACTCTCCTCACATCATTCACTCAGTTTGTCAAAGGAGCTGAAGGTGGTGCAGCGCGCAGATCCCACCTTTGATGATGACCTACAAGATTGGCTGCGCCGTGCCCACAACTGGTTGTCGAAGCCCAAAGGCACCACAAACTACTACAAGCTCCTTTGCTGGGCGAAAGTTGTCTTCAGGCCGGTGGAGGAGATAAGTAGGCAGCCAGGGGAGATCCAATTGATAAAGGAGGCATGTTGCGGCTGGAGTCCATGGGGAAGCTGGAGTCCATGGGCTTGTTTGGCCCTCCAGATTGACCCCACTCGTGCTATAGATGATGTAGGATGATGTAGGATCGAGGATGGCAAATCCCGAGAAGAACTCCCCGGAAGAGTAACCTGCGCAGCAGCTTGAGAGCCGTTTCGAACAGCTGAGTTACCCAGTTGCACAATGCAAAAAGGCAATGGTTTACCTCTTTGGCGGCCAGAACCTTAGGACCTTCAACCCAAGGCTGTCGAATCACTGTAGAAACAGAACCCCGTATTCGTGTTTGGGAGGGCCACTGGCCACTCCTCTAATTACATGACCAATGAGTCAGATTGCAAGAATCTTCCGAGCCTTTCGAAGAAATTGAGAGATGGTCACATGATTTTCAACCCTTACTTGGGGATGATTGGACCCTCGACTAATATTTCTCAAGTGGGTTGAAAACATCAACCAGTTATGTTGAGCTGAATGTCCAAAGCAGGGGCTGGAAAGTGAATGGGGTACGGTTGGGTTGGGATGGGCAGGTCAAAAAACAGCTAGAGAAAATCAAGCATTATTAGCCTTGAAGTAGTTCTTTGCTCGATCAGCCGATCAGCTGTTTCTACCCTACGCAAACCACGCGAGCAACAAGACACGCGGTCCAGATTGAGGCTCATGGCTTTGCCGATGGATGCCAGCAAAGACGACATCCGAAAGTGCCTGGGCAGATTGGAGTCCGAACAATCCGGAAGAATGACTTTCGCCCCAGCTCCCAAAGTGTCAAGTTACATGTCACAACACATGAAATGTGTGGACACATACAGTGTTGTTTCTATTGAGTTCAGTCATTCAACACAGTTACATCTACATATATACATCTACCAAAGAATGTCGTGAAAGGAGGGATCTTGTGAGGAGAGTGAGTGTACCGCAGGCTCTTGACTGGTTTGGTGATTGGGTCCTCATCAACCCTCCCCCAGTCTGCATGGTTTCACATCCCCACCATGTACTTGTTGTTTCCTGCATGGGAAGGCTGGCTGGCAGCAAAATTACCACTCCCCATGCACGGTGTTCATTACATCATCTCGGTGCAGGAGTTGCTCATCAACTGTATGAATCTCACACCACCACTGCGGGGGGCTGCTTGGCCTCCCGCCGCACCGGTGGTGCAGCGCATTGCGCACCCAGGCAGTACCGGCGGCTGTGCTTGCAGTGGCACCCCGACAAGTCGGAGGGCGGGCGAGAACGCTTCGAGGAGCTCCAAGTGGCGCACCGATTTCTGACGGATGAGGTGCAGAAGGAGGCGACCGAGGGAGGGAGGGAGGGAGAGAGAGAGAGAGAGAGACCGCTGTTTGGCCGGCCGCGGGAGAGACACGGGAAATCTCCGCGGATTTGTTTTTTGGGAAGGTTCTTTTTTACGTCATGATCAGTCATGATCTTGCGCATGGGTTAATATGTGTTAATACGTATGAAGAACTGGGGAAACTCAGGACATTTGAGGAAGATGCGTGTTTTTATGTGTTTTTGTTTTGTCACAATTTTTCTTTGGTTGAGCAAGCCCTAAAGTCAGGTGATGATGGACAATAATGATCGTGTACAACATTTGTAACTTACTTGATTCCTGATGTGAACTGGCCCAGACATGCGGACCCACTTGTCATTGAAACGCGCCTGGCCTGGCAGATCAAGAGTTCAAAGTTGACACCTCCAACTGGATGTTCATTGTTTAATAAACAGCAGTGCTGGGTAATGGGTAATGTAACATGTTTTCGGTTCCAATGGATCGGACCTTAAGATCCTTAAGCAAGATCGAGTGGGGAAGTGTTTGAGTTGAGTGAAGTTCTTACTGTTCAAGTCCATTCGAGGGGATCCTTGAGTTCCATGGCCTTGGATCCTTCATGGATCGAGTAAGACTCCATGAATGAATGAAGTGTTTGTCATGATTCGCATGAACCACTTTGCAAGGTTGACATGTCTCATCCAGATGGATCTGGCAGGAGTATGATTTTGGCATTTGGCTCGATCGCCCTGCTCGACATCATACCAAGACGCTCTTTTGGAATTAGAGCGTTTTAGGCACGTGAATTGCCTTCTTTACGAGGAAACATGGACCGAATCGAGGGGAGAGAACCAAGTAAGGGGCCTCAAAGAAGAACATATTCAGTTTTTCATTCAATCCATGTTTCGACCGGAAGGGCTCCATTTCATAAGTTTCTCGTATGAATTCTTTTGTTCTCTCCAGGCGCATTTTTGTTGCAGTTTCCAGCAAATGTTAGTTCCAGTTGAACTCTCCAGTCGGAGCTATACAAATATTCACCACCAGTCTCAGGGCCCATGGGGGTGCAGTCACATCGGCCTCCAAGGAAACGTGAGAAAGTCAAGGACTCCTGGGATGACAAGGCTCCGGACGAGGGTCCTCGTTGCTTGGTCACGACCGGAGTGGAGACGAACACCGTTGCAAACCGTCCCACACCCATACCCTCCATGTATGGAATATACATGGACCTTTTTGTACTGACCCCCAAACCACCCCAATGGATCGGCAAATATATATGGCAGAGTATATGGCAGTCATGGACGAGCGATTTGGGAGAGGCTTTCAGAGGATCTTGAAGTGGAAGATGAGGTGGAAGAAGATCTTGAGGTGGAAGATGAGGATCTTGAAGGATTTGTTGAAACATGAGGGCGAAAGATGGGGGAAGGTGAGGGCTGTCCTTGCCTTCCTTGGCTCGTTGGGTCAACGTAGGCAGGTTATGCGCGGGTTGGTGGTACATGGCTTGCTTCTCTTCTGGCTGAGGAACTCATTACAATTGGGGAGACCGGCACCTCATTGAGGATGAGAAGGTGGAAAGCATTTACTGGGGAGAGGCTGGGTGTCCAGCTTGGCTTCAGGAGAAGAGGAAAGAGCCTGGGCGTCGATTTGGAAGGGTTTTGCAACAACCAGAAATAACATATCTTTTGACAGACGTGTACCTGAAATTCTACTTTCGAAGCATCTACTTTCTATATGTTGCATTTCAGGTGGTAAATCTGAGAGATTGTGAGTCGCATAAGCATATTTCATGGGCGAACTCCTGCCATCGTGTCGACTCTTTTTTTGGTGCCTCACTGAGGAGTTCCAGCGAAAGCAGTTTGGAGATGACTACATCGTGCCATAAGAAGTGGCCAAAAAGGTCCAAGTGGTCTCGGCCGATCTGAAACTGTGTTTTTTCGGCATTCCCTTCTGTATTCCTTTTTGAGGTGAATCGTGCAAGGTCCCCACCACATGGGACGGCCAGTCGGCCAGTCGAACAGATCCGCACAATCGCGGACCTTAGATTCTTGAACCCTCAGGAGCCATATAGGTTGGATTCCAAGTTTCAATGTTCCAAGAAGAAGGCTTGCCGGCTTGCCTTTTTGGATCTTTTTTGGCAAGTGGTGATCATGCAAACAGGATTGAACGGACACACAGGATTGAGATCAGCCACTACAATACACATTTGGCATTCACCGCAGGTCTTGTATCATTACTCCGTGTTTTAATCCGGTCAAGCCAGGGACCTTTTAAACACGGGAATTGCCATTCATCTTCAGATTCAGGGCATGTGATTGATTCATCACTTTGCTCACTCACTCTCATCCCACGATTCCATGATTCCTTTTCTCGGTGGCCCGTTCAGCCACTCCACCAGGCTTTCCCAACCCACGCACTCTGAGGAGCTTTGTGGACTGGGCCCGTGGCAGTGGATACAGCTACGAGTGGTTCAGCACAGCGCCTGGTCCTGTCTGACGCTGATGCGCCCCCGAAGACCCTCGCGCCACACGGCGTGCGCCGTTCGTGACGCGTTCGTGACGTACCAGTCACTGCCACGACTCTTTGTCCATCGGATGGCGAATGCACCCCCAGAAGGCATGCGAAATCGACACATCCACCTACGGCCATGCAACGGCCTACCGCCAAGACCATACAAGCAACTGCAGGGGTCGAAATCGCTATTCCCTCGGGCTACAGTGCTCCAGTCGTACCTTTTGAGAAGGTGGGACTGGAGTGGGTTTGGAGGGTCCAAATACCTTCTGAGGAGGTACGGCTGGAGCCCTAGGGAAGGGTTGAGGGTCAGGCACCAGGTAAGATCGACGGAATATCCACCACAAAGGCAGAGAATATAGAAGAAACATAAGAAACACATATTCTGATACTGCACATCACTTCTTCCAAAAAGATGTCTCATGATGACTCCTTGTCACCGTGTCACCATTTCCTCCAAGGTGTCTTTGGAGGAGTTCGCCGCTGGACGGGAAGCTTCGCAGTTTTTCCGGTCACCGCAGTCTTTTTTCTCCAGTGGCGCCGCAGGGTCACCAGCGACCACACCCGTGAGTAGCACCTGTTTCTATTTCTTTTTTAGGTAGCTGGTGCTTCAGAATGTTCTGAACATTAACATGTAGAGCCAGAATCCACAGTAGGCACTCAAACCATTTGGTGGTAATAAGGAATCACTGGGCATCACTGCCACCTCGTCGTCCACCTTAGTCCAGTGATTGGTTCAGTGCTTTGCTGCTTCAGCCGTTGGCTTCGCTGGACGGGGCCGCCGGGTGATCAGGGGTTGCAATCCAACACCCCAAATGAACAGCGTTCAAAACCGAAAGAACCACATGATCCGATTTCAACTGCAGGGACAAGGCCAAGACCGAAAGCCCAACCACTGACCGAGCCGCCAATCGTTTGCTCCCGCCCCCCCGGCGGTTTTGGGGCGGGCCTGGACGTGTTTTGGTTTGGCACGTTGAGGCCAAGCAGCCCTCCGAGCTGTAAGAGGTCGGCCAAGCGGGGTTCGTGGGTTCGTGGGTTCGTTTCGGTGGAAGTGGCCCGAAGTTTCGGTGGGAGGTCTTCGTTTCGGTGTTCCAAATGTCTCCAAGCGTTCTAGGGTGCTGGAAGTCACCTGCAAACGCCGGCGAAAGTGTTCGATATCGATGATCAGAATGGATGGTCTCGGGTGGCTACACCACGCGAGGGGTCGGACCCCCAAAAGCAAAAAGCGTAGAACAACTAATTAATATTATTGCCTTAAGTTCAAATGCCCCGCTGCAAGGTCAGAACTGTTCATTTGTCCGAGTTGAAGCTGCCAGTCAGTCCCAATCCCAATGGGTGGCCGTTGGCTTGTTTGCTTCAAGTATCGGAGGTCCAGGCCAGTGCCCTGGCGCTCATTTGGCAGGAAGCTGCTTGAGCACGTCGCCGGCAGATTTTGCACAGGTCCCTGAGAGACCCCCCAGTGAATGCGAAGAGTTTGGCAGCCTTTTTGTGCGCAGATACTTCCAGAAGTTTCAGACTGTATAGAACGCTCTTAAAGTTCTGGATGCCATGAAGTATACTTCAGCTCATCTAAATTAGTTTGGTATAAACCAAGCCGCCAAAGAAAATGACGATGATTCCTTCGACTCCTTGTTAGCACTTCTTTGGAAGTGAGCCGATGCTTGCCAGACAGGGGCAAAAAAATCCGCGCAAGACGGACTGCGCGGACGGCGCTGGCGCGGACTGCTGAGGTGCTTCCAGAAGTCAAGAGGATGTAAACCATGCCGATGCTTTACGAAGCAACCGGTGAATGACATCGGCAGTCTACAACTTGCTCTTTGTCCGAGTCGTCCGAGTCTCTCCGACCTGAACCCGTCCTTTCTCGGTGCGGCCTGCGGTTCAGGGCAGAACAGACATCACTTTGGGTGCGATGTTCACTTGAATATCTTGAATGTTTAACCAGCACTGACTGATAGGATTGGCGCGACCCCAAAGAACATGAATTAGGTTGGCATTCCAGTATATAAGTCCCGACTTGCAGGCTCCTGCGTGGGGACAAAACGACTTTGCCGTGTCAAGGTGTAAGGTTCTTTTTGGCTGGGAGGTGCTGCTCAAAAGCGTTACTTTACTTCTAAGTGCATAATAGTAGGACAAAAAACACATACCTGCTTTGAGGATACCAACTGCCTGGTTCGTTATTACGTGTTCGTGCCCAGGATGGGCCTCATACTAGCAGGAAATCAACACGGGGCATGACTTTCTGATCCATAGATAGATGTGCTGCACACCTCTTTGGCTTGACTTGCTGGAAGCACCTCAGGGGGTGTAGTATAGCCTGGGGCCTCGTCAGTCACATGGGCATTACATGAAGAGAGACCCTGAGCATGTACCACAGCAGGTTTTACCATTTGGTTGCGTGCAAGTGCAAGTGCCTGAACATGATTTTCCTTGTGTGGGGGGTTGTTGTTACCTTGAATGCGTTTAATGTATTTTAATGTGAAGATATCATCACTAGCTATATAGTCCCAGGAGATCCAAAAATAGTTCACGAAAGGTAGCCCTTTAGGGGATACCTTGAGTTTGTCTTGCGAAGCAAGTGTTGGGACGTCCGGGTCTAATAATTGATCGCTCAATTCAGACCCCCCCCCCCCCCCCCTTGGATTTGTTTTTCCATTACAGACCCCCCCCCCTCCCCCCTCTAAAATCAATTCTCTCCTGGAGAACGTCTTCGTGAGCCTCTCATGATTTCAGGATAGTTGAAACCCATTGAAACCCTCTTGAACATTCAGAAAAAGTGAATATGAAATTCTAATCACGAAAGGTGTTCCCCGAGGGGATACATACCTAGAGTTTGTTTTGTGAAGCACGTCAATTCTCTCCTGGGGAGCGTCTTCGTGAGCCTCTTATGGTTTCAGGATAGTTCAAATCCTATGATGTTCCGATTCAATGCTCACCGATGATCTGAGCCATGGGGCAAGTTTGTTTTCCTAAGAATCTTTTTTGAACATTTCGAGAGCATATGTTTGAACATTTAGAGTGCATATGAACATATATTTACGAAAGGTCGCCTCCGAGGGGATAAATCACCATGTCGAACATTGCATTTTTGTTCCTGCCTCTCGCATTCTCTTCTCTTCCCGCTGTCCTACCTTTCGTGTCTCCCTCCTCTCAAGTTTCCTCGTAGAGGAACATTGGAACATGTCAAACCAATAAAAATCAAAAAACGTTTCGCTAGCCGCTAGCCACATGGGTCACCTCAAAGGCCTTCCCTGAGCTAAGCCAATTCCAATTCCGGCTTGGCGGGTACACCACCACGAGGTTTACTCCCCCTGGAATCATCATGGAAGCAGAAAACCATGTTTTTATTAGAGGACCATTGTCGTCCGAGGGGTCATTTCCCACTTCCATGATATTTCCAGGGAGTGTAGATAGATTTTGTGTGGATGAATCTTTGGATGATGCAGGGGGCTAAGGTCCAGCCAACCGAGTATCCAAATGATAGCACACTGTGCATGAGGGTTATGTCGTGTCTTGGCGGCCCGTTTGGCACTTTTAGGTCCGATTTTGGATGCGCGAGTGCGCAGGATTTTTCCGTGAAACCCTTTCACGGGGTAGAGCGCAGCATGCGTTTCGGACAAAAAGAATGAGCAAATTCCTATAATTGTTGCTGTGAGATTGTGCTTTCGCAGCTTCAAAAGCTTACATAGCGGTAACTCGCTCCTGTCTCGAGCTCTTACGTACCAAGCCTTCGACGGAAGCCGCCGGTGGGTGAAAGGAGTCCAGTGAAAGCAGTCCAGCAGGTCGGGTGTTTGGCTACCGCAAACACACACCCAGACGCTCCATGGGACTGCCAGTGGGACTGCCATATGACTGCTGGTCAATGGGGGTGGTTTGGGGGGTCAATGGGGCGGCATAGTTGTAGGCATATATATATATATCATACATGGAGTGTGTGGGACACGCACATTCTGTGGTGACACTTTTCCACTAAAGCAGGGCACGTGTCCATGCGAGGTTGAGTGATTGAAAGCAACCCGAGGAGTCAAAAGCGTTGCATTTCGCCCTGGTTTGCGTGGCACTCCGCCCTTGTTTGGTGCCAATGCCTCCAGGGAACTGTCAACGTTCCGTCGAAGGCGGCACAGCATTGTGCCCAAGCGAATGCTCCTAGTGTGAGAGCCGTGTCAGTGATCTACAAACTCAAAAGCACGACACTCTTGAATGTTGTGGCTTGTTGTTTTGTGGTAAGTTCTACTTTCTTGAGGGCGGTCTTTCATTCATGGACTAAATTGTTGATGGAAGCTTGGTTTCTTTCCCCTGGCGGGCGCACCTGACTTTCAAATAAAGCAACAAAGCCTGGCTGAATGCTCGGATGCCCCGACAAAGACAACAAAAAAAACACACAAAAC